TCCGGTCAACTTTGTTTCTGTGGGCCTGATCAGCGCCTATGAAGACATGTCGTCAACTGATCCGGTCAACTTTGTTTCTGTGGGCCTGATCAGCGCCTATGAAGACATGTTGTCAACTGATCCGGTCAACTTTGTTTCTGTGGGCCTGATCAGCGCCTATGAAGACATGTTGTCAACTGATCCGGTCATCAGCCATCTTTCCTTACTGTCGAGGGAAGATATTGCAATACTTCACGACGTCCGTGACGTGGCACCTGCTTCGTGTGTACTGACCGCAGATAGCTCTGTCAGTGGTCAGTACCAAGCAAATAAATCAAAGACAAATGGTCCGAATACAATTAAAGCGTTTAAAAATGATAATATTATTTTAATCTAAAAGAAAGTTTCCGCAAACATTGTATCAAAATCTATTATCCTCTTGTAGCAGATGAAACAATTTAATAGGAATACAAAAAACTGTACTCACAAATCCAGCTCAAACATTATGGAGAGCTTTCTCTATGTAAAATGAGGGTGATCTTAGTTTTTATTTTTGTTTTTTTACAAAAATGATCAGTGGAAAATGTCATGAAACCATTTCTGACCTTAGATCTCTGGTTGGGACCCGAAATGAAATGTGTATACAACAGAAATCAAAGGAAATAATAATAATAATAATAATAATAATAATAATAATAGTAATAATCAAATGTTAAAGAGAAGCTGAAACAACAAATTCAAGCGAAGGCGCAGAGAATCAAAACAATATCTTCAAGATGACTAGAAACTATATCGAGAACTGGGAAAAATAAAATAGAGATAAATGACCCACCTAATAGCCAGGAAGTCGAGGAGTTCTGGAGTAATATGTGGGAAAACTTTAAAATATACAATGTGTTCACCATGTTTATCGTAGTCTTTGAATATAGAATCCAGTGAAGTCCGTAATGTGTTCAATATCAGAGGTTGGTAGTGAAGATATTTTGGGAAAAAAAAAACAAAATGGCTGCCTTTATACACGTCGGATTGAATATTTTGAGCTTTCTGATTGGTTAACCCTTCTATTGGTGAACTATAAAATGAGTCAGCTCATTTTGGTTGGCTCACTAGTACATAGTACCCAAAAATTCTAAGACAATGAAATAGCTACATGGATCATATAGAGTGCCAAAAATGGACGGAATCAATATTACTGAAGCAACGACTGCCATCTGCAAAACCAAAAGCTGGAAACCACCAGGAATAGACCGAATAGCCAATTTTTGGATAAAAAAACCTAACACCTATCTAAGACCTCGCACGGGCATATAATGATATAATCATAAATCCAGAAAAATCACTTGTGTGGCTCACGTAGGGAGTAACATTCCAACTCCCCAAAAATAAAAGAAACTCTAAACCCTAAAAACTATAGGCCCATTACATGCCTACCAACAATCTACAACATGCGCACTTCTACTATCATAACCGAGAGGGCATATAACTTCCTTGAGAAAAAACAATTTGTTCCCAGTAAAACAGAAGAGATGTAAAAGAGGAAGCTACGGGTTCAAGGACAAACTATCAATAAAACAATATTGGAAGTGATGAAAACAAGGAAAAGAAACTTATCAATAGCATGGGTCAACTAGGGATAGGCGTTCGACAGTGGACCTAAAATGTACAGACTATTGATCAAATTCATAACGGAGAACAAGAAAAAAGGGAAGAGTATTTTAAACATAAACCACAAACACGGGTGATTAACACTGAAACCAATCAATATCAAAAGCGGGATTTTCTAAGGTGATTCATTATCACCACGACTCTTCTGCCTTATATTACTCAGTGCACAGATGTCACTACCTTGTTATGTCTCTGGGTATATTAATTTTTTGCCAGTTCCGGACATCCTGAGATAATATGGTCGCCAATTTCATCATATTTTCCGCAGATCCTGCATTTCAGATTATTTTTATTCTTGATTATGTGACAGTGATACAATCTGGTTGCAATGTTTTAGGTTCTGGACTGCAATAATTAGACCTTCTGTCTCAGCTTTCAAAGCGTCACTCAGCTGACTAATGAACAACAGTAGCTGTGGATACAAGTCACAGAATGACAAACAGAATCACATATGCTATATTGATGTTCTTAAAACATTTGCCATGGATGACAACCAGTAGAAAACCTACTCACCATTGCCAAAACCTTCAGTGAAACATTAGGATAGAGTTCAGAATAAACAAATGTGCCAAAGCCAGCTTCCAAAGCGGTAAACTAACAAAGACTACAGATTCAGACATAAAGATCAATAACAAAATTAAGGAACTAGACAAAGATGGTACATACAAATACGTAGGAATTAATGAAGGAAACGGAATACAACGTTTAATTGTGAACAAAAAGATCAGAAAATAATATAGGAGAGTACGTTTGAAACTGGAAAGTGAACAATGGGGCGAATAAAATGAAGTGTATCACCACTTTAGCTATACCCGAAGTAACATACAGCTTCAACGTTATTAAATTGAAGTTGAATGACATTAAAAGACTGGACGTCAAGAGCAGAAAATTGCTTGTCCAAATAAGGATGCACCTCCAGAAATCAGATGTTGATAGGCTGCACGTACCAAGAGTTTTATAAGGCCGAGGTCGAGTCGAGCTTGTACTAACTCTAAAAAAATTACAACAATAGGGATTGGAAGTCTATCTCACAAAAACCAATAACCCTCGCTTACAAATAGTAAAACACCAAAATCCATTCCATCAAAAAAGAAGCTCCGCTCTTCAAAGAACAGCTTAATATACCTGAAATTCTACCAACAAAAAATAAAGCAAATGCCATTTACGCCAAACAAGTAAAACAGAAAGTAAAATAACTACATGAAATTACAACAAAACTGGGAGGACAAGGCGTTGCTTGATAAATACCTAAAAAGAACAAAAGAAACAGATGTGAACCAACAGAAAACACATCAGTAGCTGAGGAGGACCGGTTTGAAAGCCAGAGACAGAAGATTTAATTATTGCAGCCCAGAACCTGAAACATTGCAACCAGATTGTATCGCTGTCACATAATCAAGGATAGAACTAACCCGAAATGCAGGATCTGCGGAAAATATGATGAAATTGGCAACCATATTATCTCAGGATGTCCGAAACTGGCAAAAAATGAATATACCCGGAGACATAACAAGGTAGTGACATCTGTGCACTGGAAGATATACCAGAAGCACAAAATCGAAACCACTGAGAGATGATATGACCACCAACCAGACACAGTTACCCCAAATAACTATCCTTTGAGACATCAATTGAAACTGGCAGGGAAATAAAAGCCAACAGACCAGATATTATCATAAAAGACAAAAGATTCAGGAAGCGTACCCTTATTGATATATTAGTACCATCTGAGAGAAACATCTCCATGAAAATTATCGAGAAATTGTCCAAATACAAGTACGTGGAGATCGAGATTAACAGTATGTGGGGAATGAAGACTGAAATTGTAACAATAGTAATCGAAGCTCTGAGCCTCGTGAGAAAAGGAATGGACAATTTTACTAACAGTGTCCCAGGTAACATCAACATACAAATTGCCCAGAAGATCGCCCTACTAAGAAAATCCCATATACTAATTGCTATCCATTAAATGAAAATTCTCCTATAGGGTCTAAGGAACATAGTTTGGCCCCGTCTGTGCAGGATACAAAGCAAGAACATAACATGCACAAATAATAATAATAATAATAATAATAATAATAATAATAATAATAATAATAATAAACTTTTGTGGTAACGGCAGTAATATGTCATTTAGCTTCGGACAAATGATTTGCTGACGTTAGAATGAGAATTATATTACGAGAAATTACCTCAGAGAAAAATAAGCGCGCTAAAAGCCGAATAACGGGAAAAAAAGTAAAGGGGGCGGCACAAATCGTGCATTTCAACAGCCGTGATAGGAAGGACGGTAAAAGAATCACTTCAGAGTTGAAGCAGGAAGTGGGTAATAAGATAACATATTGGAAAACGTTATGCAATTATATGATAGTCGTTTTTTTTTTTGTTTTTGTTTTTTTTTAATTTTACTGCATCATCGCGTCTGTGGACAAAATGGCGAAAAGGAATTAAACTTGTTAGAGAAAATTTCTTCTTATTTTTGCGGGTGAAACGAAGATGGAAATATCCAGAAAATTGAAAAAAAATGCTTTTTTCGAATTGACAGATTTGACTCCATGATTTATTCTAAAGACATATCCTCTTGTATTTTTATAGTCATTTAAACTGACACCTTCTTCCCCTATCTAATCTATAATTGGAATGTATAATAATGAATTATCGCCCGGTTTACACTGGTCTTTTGAACAGGAGTAGAGTTTTATATCTTTTTTTCCTGTTGGGGATTGGGTTTCTACGTCAACTCCATACTTCTAACGTCTGAACTCTGAAATGTTTACTAATTATTTTTTCTCTTCAACAGGAGTAAACAGGTTCGTCTATCGTCTTGTTTACATTTCTCTCCGGTTTTTTGAACAGGAGTATATGTTTATACCTTGTTCCTTGTTTATGATCAGGTTTCCGATTCCTTTTAAAGTCTGTTCATTCTCTTTCACTCCTAGTAGTCCCTTGCGTCTTAGTTGCATTGTTACCTTGCTAGTGGCGAATTGATGAAAAATAAGTTAAAAGTTTCATGAGAAGTCAAGGCATTTTTGTACACGAACTTCATGCGCAATTGGTCCTATATGTGGGTGTTAAAAATAGTGGTAACTGATGTCAAGTTAAATGACAAAGAAAAAAAAAAAAAAGACAAAAAAAAGTTCCAACTTACGAATCTGTCCCGGCAACTGGCTCACTTGTCTTCGGAAAAGTGGATGTCTCTGAAAGAGTTAAAAAATGCTTGTACAATTAGAAAGTGTAGTAGAATTTGTAACGAGGAGAAAAATATTTTACTCATACAGTGATTTAATTTAGAAATTATAGTGTTAAATATCTAAGACTAATATCTTTAAAATATCCTGTTTTATTGTCTGTTGAACGTGATTGAAGACAATCTAGATATGGACGGAGATATGAACGTACTGATACAGACAGAGATATGAATATAGACAGAGACAAAGATATGAACGTAGATAGACGTATACTACAGGCAAAAAGTTCGGTTACCCTGCATTAAAAAAAACACCTTAAAATGAGATAATTTGTATTTGCTTTAAGTATAATTAGAAATAGTAATTAGTAACTGCAGTTTATTTGTTTTTATTTTGATAAAAATAAGCACTTAACTAGAAAAAAAAATTACCATAAAACAGCATCATATTTTGTTTTCGTCAACAAAACCACCACCTGCCTTAATTACTGCTTTGAAACTTTTTGGAATTCTTTCTAAAATTTAAAAAACGAAAGTAGATTGCAGACATTTCCAAGCATTCTTCAATCACTGAAAAATCCCATTCTAGCATTCTTGGCATTCTCTTTGAAATCTTCTATCCAATTCATTTCATATTAATTCAATGGAAGAGGAAACTGAGTCTTGTTGAAAGCTGACCTTTTTTTTTTCCAGTGGTGCGTAAACTAAATAGTATAGCAGGTGTTAAAGCATGTCTTTGCAAAATCGAATGATAATGTTTTTTTTTCATGATTCCACTGACCTGAAGTTCTTTTGGTAATCTCAAAAATCTACTGAGGGGTAAAAGTTTGTTTGGTTTTACTGCATATCAACCTCAATGGGTCATTTAATTCCGACAACTTTTTTTTCTGGTAATATTTTTGTTTTGTCAAAAATCTATTTCTGTTAATATTTTTTTCCTCAAAAACGTATATCTGGTAATATTATTTTTCCAAAAACGTATAGCTGGTAATATTATTTTTCCAAAACCGTATAGCTGGTAATATTATTTTTCCATAAACGTATAGCTGGTAATATTTTTCAAAAACGTATTGCTGGTAATATTTTTATTTATTTTTTTTCAAAAATTCATTTCTGGTAATAATTTTTTAAAAAGTATTTCTGGTATTAAAACCTATTTTTTTTTACTTTTATAATGCTCTTTATCTCAGTTTCGGGGTTAATTATTTGCCCATAGCTGGGACCCTAACAGGTGCTACCACCCCGGGTCAAGGCGGACCTGGAACGTCAGCAATTAAAAGGTAGTTGAACGTTCCTCAAAGCGTCCTGATCAGAGGCCTTGCTGTTGGACGTAGTTTAGCGTCTTACCCTGGACGCGGATGTAGTTTATCATCATACTCAAGACGGGAGGGGTCAATGGTAAATATAAAATAAAATATTCATAATTTATTAAAATGTATTCTTGGACAGTCTAATTCAAATTTGAACTTTTTGTTAGTAAGAAGATCCTGGAGAAAGACTGAAAAATAAAAACAAATACACTGTAGTTACTGAATTTTATCTTTTACTTTAGAAAATAGAAATATTTCATTTTAAAGTGTTTTTAAAGAAATGCGTGGGATATCACAGTAGAGAGTGACAAAAATATAAACGTAGCTAAAGATAAAGAAAGGGATATGAATATAAATAGAGATAGATAAAGAGTTATGAACTTAGAGAAATAAATGTGAAAGTAGAGAGAAAGAGAGAGAGAGAGAGAGAGAGAGAGAAAGGTAGACATATGGACGTAGATAGAGTGACTTAGACATTAAGATATAGAGACAGAAATGGTAAGAATTGAACTCAGAGAAAGGGATATGAGCACAGAGCTCGAGATATAATCGTAGATAGAGAGAGGTATAAAAAGTAGGGAGAGAGATAGAGACAGACAGATATAAATGTAGGCATATATATATATATATTTCTTTATACATATTTCTTTATATATATATATATATATATATATATATATATATATATTTTCTTATATATATATATATATAAAAACAACTAAAAAGATGCAAATTAAAAAAAATAATAATGTTTTTTATTAAAGTATTTATTTATATTTGATATTTCAAATCAACCTCGATCTTTCTTCAGAAATAACTGTTTTTTTACCTCTAAAAACAGTTATTTCTGAAGAGAGGCCGAGGTCATTCTGAAATATCAAATATAAATAAATACTTTCATAAAAAAATATTATTATTTTTTTAATTTGCAACGTTTTAGTTGTTTTTTCTATATATACATATTAAAAAAGTATACGTGGCTTTTCATTATGCTACATATATATATATATATATATATATATATATATATATATATCTTATGCAGTGTTACATATCCACTACAAATTTGTACATTTTTGTTTCGACGTCATAAAAGGGGAAAACCATTTTTAGACGTCTCATCAGGTGGGGAATCACGGTGTTACTAAAAAATCTTTATTCACAAATACAGTTATCGAAGCAAATATCCCGACTTCCGTTCTTTGGAAATTTTCATAAAATGTCTTCTGGAATTTACATGTAGAGATGGAAGGAAATCTGATGCATTAAGTAGTCGCGGGCGAACGAAAAAGAAGCTGGAAAGAAAAAAAAAGGGAAGGTAAAAGAAAGAAAAAGGCCATGGGAAGAGGATGAGGTGATAAGCGCTAAGAGGAGATAAAATCTGGCCATAGAATTTCGTTAGAATGTAGAACTTGAATTGCGCTCTACTTTGTGTATTGAGCACTATTTTTAAATTAATGTTGTAAATGGTGTAATCCTACTTTTCGTTCTCCTACACTTTGATATATATATATATATATATATATATATATATATATATATATATATATACGTAGAGAGATGTACAGACAGAAATATTAACGTAGACAGAGGCAGGAATATAGATAGAGATAGATAAAGAATTATGAAGAGTTATGAAAAAAGAGATATGAAAGTAGATAGAACTGGAAAAGCGGAGATAGGGACGTTGATGGAGAGAGAGAGAGAGAGAGAGAGAGAGAGAGAGAGAGAGAGAGTCACACATAAAGGGGCGATGGATAAATTGTCGTCTAAATCATGCAAATGTGAAAATAACACTGACATCTCATTTTAACAGATATATTTACCAAAATTACACAGAAATGTCTTGAAATACTACAGAATAAATTTGTTAAATAAAATGGCCCTTGTCTTTAAACCACGACCTCCGGCCGACTTCGGAACCTCCTGAAACTCTTCTGGAAGGTCTCTTTGTTTAAGTTGGTGAATGCTGCCATATTAATTGCTTCCAATTTATCTTTGGCGTTACAAGAAGTTTTGTTGGTCTCTCGCCCCACACATAATAATCAAGGGGAGGTTGCAGTCTGGGAAGTTAGGTAGCCACATACCAAAGGTGGTGTGGTCTCAGAAATTGTCTGATAGCCTTGACTGGGATCTCTTGATTGTGTGGCTTAGTGCAGAGTCCTTTTGCCAGACATAGAGTCTTCCAGCAGCCACCCTCTTGACCCAGGGCAGCACTACCACCTCAAGGCACCTGATATATATCGCGTTGAGTCTGAGGCCCTCACCTACAAATTTGGGAGTTCTTTTCTTAGAACGACCAGAGTTAGTTGCTCGAACCGCCGTACCTTCGTAATCACCATCTGTACTGTCTTCAGATTGACACCCAAACTATTGGAGCTTCCAGCGCAAATGCCAAGCAGTACAGCATATTGTTTCCAATTTTCTGCAGGAATGAATTGCGTCATGATGTTCTTTTTCTCACAGACGGTGTCTAACTGATCATATTATATTATGCAACCGACAAAATCAAAAACTAACAACGCGCATGCACGAAATTAAACATATAAAATGGCGACACTTTACACATCGCATCTTGTATATTAATGCATATAGTGATAGAGACAGAGAAATAAACATAAAGAAAGAGTTATGAACACTGATAGAGAAAGGCGGAAATAAAACTATAGATAGAGACCCATATATGAAAATAGACATGGAAGTATTACCATCGATACTGATAGGGACACAGATATGAAAATAGATAGGGACATATTACCGTCAATACTGATAGAGACACAGATATGAAAATAGATAGGGACATATGAATGTAGACAGAGATAGTGACAGAGCAATAAGATAGAGATAGATATTAATATAAATCCAGCGATACGACAGGGAGAGACAGAAATATGAACGTAGATAAGGATAAAAGCTCAACTAGGAATATAGATAGGGATAGATAAAGTGTTATTAACGAGAAAGAGATAGGAAAGTAGACAGAATTAGAAAGGCGGATATTTGAATGTAGACAGATACGAAAAGAAATCTGAACGTAGAGATTGGGATAGAGGCAACCATATGAATGTAGTGTTAGATAAAATATTAACAGAAAAGAGATAGACCATTTTGTGTTCTAAGCCTGTTCCGAAAATATCCCCTTTATTCGAACATCCTGAGGACCGGTTGCGTTTCGGCTTCAGTCACTTTCCGAACACTATAAATTAGCTTCACTGTACATTTTCTAAAAACCCTTTCATGGTACTTATTCGGCTACTTGCCATCGTACCTAATCGTGAATTTAAACGGATTCTTTTCTCGCACTTCTCACTTGTGGAACTCTCTTCCGGCTTGTTTTACAGTCAAGTTTGATCTTCAAGAATTTACTTGCAGTATCAATCGCTATCTACTGTCTTACTGATCGCTCTTTTATTGTTCTTGCTTCTCAATAATTCTTGTTTTCTAATTCTCTCACACCCAGTAAACCCCTTGTGTCTTAGTGGCTTTACTGCTTTATATGAGGTGAATTTGATTAAAATCATAATTAGAGGGACCTTCCAGTGAATGGTCGAAAGAAACTCTCCTTTGAAATTACTCAATCGAAGCTCAGATGTCATTGATCAACTTGCGTATAGAATGTTCATTGTATCCTCAACACCCTAGCAATGTTAGTAGTATTGCGTTGTGTTTTATTTAGTGGAAGGAGAAAAGCAATTCATGATACCAAAAACAATTCATGATACCAATATCTTCAATACCTATCTCAGGGGTGGAACTCACGCATGTTGGATAAACAAATGAGTTTTACTATTGCCTTTATCCACTAAACTATCCCCTGTAAAATTTTAGCCTTCAAAATCGCACAGACGTTCAGGTGCGTTTATACAGTCATTTATACGGTCATTTATTCAGTCATTTACACATTCATTTATACAGTCATTTATGCAGTCATTCACACACTTATACAGTCATTTACACAATTATCTATACGGTTGTTTACACAGTCATTTACAGTCATTTATACAGCCGTTTACAGTCATTTACACATTTATACAGTCATTTACACAGTCATTTACATTCATTTATACAGTCATTTATACAGCTGTTTACAGTCATTTTACAGTCATTTACACAGACATTTACACAATTATCAATGCAGTCTTTTGCACAGTCGGTTACAGTAATTTACACAGTCATTTACAGTTATTTATACAGTATTTATAATGATTCACACAGCCATTTGCAGTCATTTATACAGTCATCTACATAGTCATTTATACAATCATTTACACAGTCATTTACACAACCATTTGCACAGTCATTTATACAGTCATTTATACACACGCCCTGACGCCAACTTGTATTTATACAATTATGATATTTTTTCTACGAAAGCTGTGTATTAATCACAAGATCGTGAGATCAAAGACCATATCAGTATAATAAATTCTCCAATTTTTCAGAAAAAAAAACCTAGAATATCGTCATCTTTTGTTAATAAACGTTTTAGAGGATGAAACAATTCGTGTTTTGTTGAATAAATCCGATGAAGGAAACAAATGTTTCCTTGTCATCTGTAACAATTCAGTAGAAGTAAAAAAAAAAAAAAAAAAAAAAAAGAAAGAAAGCAAAATATGCTTTCCTACTGCATTTTTACAAATAAAACCAACAAACAAAAAACTTAAAGTATTATAAAACAAGTTAATAGCTAAAGTCCAGTTAAACAAAGACATAATATTTTTTTTAACGTTTTTGTTTTGTTTTAAATTCAAAACCAAAAGAAAAAATAAAGCACGGATAAAATTGAATCGTGACTTGAATTTTCTAGTTTTGTTTAAAAAGATTTCAAAGTTGAAAGAAACAGTTTCATGACAAAAATTATTTTTCGTCGTTTTTGATTTACTCTTTATGCCGCGACTTTTGCACTTAAATGCTGATATCTTCTCAAAGAATTATTTTTTCATAATTCTTTATGACTGGAGAACACGCACGAGTCATTACTTCTCTTTAGCCGACCAATAAGAACAATAACAACAAAAAAATTTATATTTCATATTTGTTGTCGAAAACTTTTTTTAAACGAAGTATTATTATTATTATTATTATCCATTTTTAATAGTTTTTCATTCATCATATTTTTATCGCAACGCACTTTTCCTTTTTATGACTGATTGATTTGTTTGTTTAACACATAAACACCTAATGGGTCATTTAATGCCGAAATTTAATGTTCTTGGGAGCTTTGAAGTAATAAAAAAAGGATATATGTTATTCTGCTTTCACAATTGAATACATGGTAGATGATACTCAGCTTTTGTACATATAAATGTTTGCGCTGACATAATTACCAGAGGTGGCGATATGTGTATTTTATGTTTTTTTTAAAGTTATCTCTTGGAATACAGTTTGATTTCTTTAAGAAATTGTCGGATATTATATGGATTAATGTCATGAAAGAGTTCTTTCATGTTGGTTGTTTGATTGGTTTTGTTAAGTGACATATCAACCACAGGTTATTTAATGCCAAAAACTAAATACTTTGAACGCAATTCTATGCCTTCAACTACAGATAAAATGCATTGCTGGTCATTTTACTATAAATATGTGTTGTTGGTCCTTTTTTGTATAAACATTTATCACTAGTATTTTTACTATAAAAATGTATTTTTATACTTTCATAGAGTTTTGTTTTTGTTTGGGGGGGGGTCGCTATTTGCCCATAGCTGGGACCCTAACAGGTGCTACCACACCAGTTGAGGGTGGATTTGGGAACACCAGCAATTAAGTGGTGGTTCCACGCACCCCAAAACCTCCAGTCTCCTGATCAGAGGCCTTGCTGACGGATGTAGTTTATCGTCATACGCAGGACACCTGTTCGGTTTTATATTCAATATACATTCATTGAATATTCTTGAAAATTGCTATTATTATTATTACGAATTATTGCTATTTTATTATTATTTAATGATTATTAATTATGTTAATAATTCTTTTAAAATAACATTTCCAAAAAAATATACTATTTTCGTCATTACTTGATAATGATGATATTACTTTTAAAATTATAAACTATAGTTGCTTCGCTACACCGTAGCCTCTCTACCCCGTTGCCTTTCTAACATATTGCTTCTCAACCCCGTTACTTTTCTACCCCGTTGCCTCTCTACCCTGTTCTTTTTCTACCCTATTGATTCTCAACTCCGTTGCTTCTCTACCCCGTTGTTTCTCTACCCCGTTGTTTCTCTACCCCGTTGCCTTTCTACCCTATAGCTTCTCAATCCCGTGGCTTCTCTACCCCGTTTCCTCTCTACCCCGTTTCCTCTCTACCCCGTTGCTTTTCTAACCTATTGCTTCTCAACCCCGTTGCTTCTCTTTTTTTTCTTTTCACAAATTATTTCTATCGCAAACTTTATGGACACCCTGTATTTGTAGAATAGAGAGAGAGAAGGCACACCGCGTCGGTGAGAAAAGGACTGAAGTCAGCCAGAATCGATTATATTACAGATCCTTTTTTTTTTTGGATTTTCTCAAAAGTCTCAAGATATACAGCATCAGCACCGGACCAGATATGACAACAATTTTCATTGCACGGACGAATGGAAACTTTGTAGATATGCATGATGGATTCCGACGAGAACAGTTTTTATGGAACGATGCAGTTACCCAACTTTCCTTCAATGTCTTATTTAAAATTCAAACAAATTGCTTGCGGATATGTGTGTGGCTGTGTGTTTCATTAAATGACACGATAATGGTTATGTCACT